TCTGACACCAGCTCCGGAGCCACTTGTTAAGCTCCCTCAACTCGCGCTGTCTGTCCGGAGTGGCTCTTGGCACAGGTAGTATCTCTGAGAAAACTACCGTGGAGGTCCTTTCCTTCATCCTAGCACCTAGGTCACTGAACTCCCTTTTTAGGACACTCCAGTTTCCTCCTATTTTGTCATTGGTGCCGATGTGCACCATGACAACGGGGTCGTGCCGGACCCCATCCAGTAATCTGTCAACTCGTTCCGCAATGTGTCGAACACGAGTCCCCGGTAGGCAGCACACTGTTTGACGCTCACGGTTCCGATGACAGATTACCCTGTCAGTCCGCCTGATGATGGAGTCTCCCACCACCAGGATCTGCCTCTCCTGACCCTCATCCGGCTCCCCTCCTCGCTGGAGCAGTCACTCCCCCTCCAGATAGAGGATGCGTCCTGCTCCAGCAGAGTCCCCCCTGAACTAGTATCCCCAACATCATGCAACTTGGCAAAGGGGTGATTATTGGGGTGAACCAGATCAGGGCTGACATCTCTAGCACTCTTCCCTCTCCCACGCCTTCTAAAAGTAACCCAGCTCCCCACCTCGGGATCCTGCTCCTCCAACCCCCCCTCCACCACAGCCTGGTGTTTTATGTCCAGACTCTTTTCCATGACTGTTATGCTCCTAAGTGTTGCCAGTTTCTTGCTTAGATCCAGAATCTGGGTTTCCAAACAAGCAACTTGCTCACATCTCGCGCAAATGTATTCCCCCTCGAACGCATACATTGCTCACGACATGCACCTGGTTGCATACCCACTCATGGAAGATATTATTTTATTTCACCCTTCTTATTTATTTATTTACTTTTATATTATTTTTATGTAAATCGAGACTACTTATTTGTAATTTATTTATCTACGGTATAGTGGTTCACAAGTGGCACGTTCAATAACTTGTTTGTTAAACTAAGTTTTATTTATACCACCGCCCTGGAATAACTTACCACCGCCCTGGTTACACTTCAATTGTTTAAACGCCAATTTTTTAATGCCACTTAGCTTCCAGGCACTTTGTTGCCAAGCCCTTTGTGAGCAAGCTCAAAATGAGTGGTGCACTAGTTTTTTGCTGCCCATGCCACAGTAAAAGAGATTC